GTGCCCCATATCAGACAGTGGATAAGAAGATGAAACAGGAGGGGGGAAAGTATCAGGGGGTAGCCGTGTTAGTCTGTATCTACAAAAACAACAAGGAGTCTGGTGGCACCTTAAAGCCTAACAGATTTATTTGGGCATAAGCTTTCGTGGGTAAAAACCTCACTTCTGCATCCGAAGAAGTGAGGTTTTTACCCACAAAAGCTTATGCCCAAATAGATCTGTTAGTCTTTAAGGTGCCACCAGACTCCTTGTTGTTTTAGTAGGGGGGAAATTAGCATGGGGAAATTAGTTTTTAGTTTTTGTAGTGACCCATCCACTCCCAGTCTTTATTCAGGCCTAATTTGATGGTGTCCAGTTTGCAAATTAATTCCAGTTCCGCAGTTTCTCATTGGAGTCTGTTTTTGAAGTTTTTTTGTTGAAGAATCACCACTTTTCATCTGTTATTGAGTGTCGAGGGAGGTTGAAGTGTTCTCCGACTGATTTTTGAATGTTATCATTCTTGACATCTGATTTGTGCCCATTTATTCTTTTGCATAGAGACTGTCCAGTTTGGCCACTTTAATTGAATTGTCTCATTAGAACTGACCCCCCACTTGGTAAGGCAACTCCCATCTTTTCATGTACTGTGCATATATATCTTCCTACTGTATTTTCCACTCCATGCATCTGATGAAGTGGGTTTTAGCCCACGAAAGCTTATGCCCAAATAAATTTGTTAGTCTCTAAGGTAGCACAAGTACTCCTCGTTGTTTTTGTTGATACAGACTAACACGGCTGCCCCTCTGAAACCTGTTCTTTTGTGTGATCTAGCACATCAAAAGGACCATTTGTGGGCACAGAGTGATTCAAAACCTCAGGGGCAGCAGGCCTCATTGCACAGTGTAATTAATGTGTCAGGGCATGTGCTGGTGTCTAGCAGGGGCAGGAAAGAACTGACAGAGCTCTGTGAATAAGGGATTTTTCAGTTCACTGGCAATTCGAAAAACTCAGGAAAAAAACGTTTTAGGACTAATAGAAAATGACATTTTTTGAAAATTTTGGTGAACTGAATAGTTAAAAAAATCATTTCTGATTCTGATAAATGTTTTGATTTTGACCATTTTAAAATGTTTTAAATTGTTTGTTATATAAACCTAAGGACATTTGTAAACAAAAAGTTTTGAACTGAAAAATTGTAACATTTCATTTTTAAAATGTTGAAACAAAATGTTTTCATTTTTTTTTATTTTTGGGGTGGGGGCGGGTTTTATCTGAAACAATTTGCAAAACACTTTGGTGTTGCCAAATCTGCATTTTGTGCCAGAAAAAAAAGTGCTGGCAGAAAAATGTCATCCCACTTTATTTCCAACCCTTTGGATAATAGCATTGCACCACGGGCAGGTGAATTTTTATGGGAAGGGGTCTTGCGTTACACTGAAGTCCAGGTTCTGCTGGAGTGAGGGCACTGGGCAACTCTTATGGGACGCATGAGCTCCATAGCAACATTAGAACATTATCGATGATTAACAAATTAATAACTACACCAATAATGATGTCTCCCTCCTCAGGGCTGAAGACAATTGTTGGGGCTTTGGTACAGTCCGTGAAGAAGCTCTCTGACGTCATGATTCTCACCGTCTTCTGTCTGAGTGTTTTTGCACTGGTTGGCCTTCAGTTGTTCATGGGGAACCTTCGGCAAAAATGTGTCAGGTGGCCGCCCCCTATAAATGATACTTTGCAAGAGGACTTCTTTGGAATGGACAATGACACGTTCACTAACTCAACTCTCTACGGCAACACAACTGGGTTGAGTAATGGGACTTTTGACTGGGATTCTTACATCAACGATGAAGGTAAATACTTGTGTGCCTTCTCTCTGCTGTTAAAATGTGCCCAAGTAAACAACCTGATTGACTCCTCGCCACCATTCAGAGCCCCTCTCCTCAGCCAATCAACGTCCAGGATTGGCCACTATTCACAGCCCCACTCCTAAGCCAATCAACATCCAGGACTGTCCACCATCCTTGGAAAATTTTGCACCATGTGACTAAGCCAATGACGAATCAAAATTGGCCACAAACATCAAAAGCTGGAGGTAGAATCCAAAAACGATAAATGAATATTTTTGTCCAAAACCAGAAAATGTTGAGAAAATCAAAATGTTTTGGCAAAAAATAAAGTGTTTAAAACAAAAGGGCAGAACCCTTTATTGAATATGGAGACACACACCAAGAGTGAAGAGAGAATTCTGAAACTGCTTCCATATCCAGGGTCCTTCCACAGTGCAGGCACATTTATACAAGAGGCAGAACCAGCTGCTAGTCAGCCTGTCGCTGCCAAGTAACGCTGCAGTGGGAGAGGTATTGGCTGGAGTGTTTCACATCTTGTTTAGAGCACTCAGCAGAACTCAGCGGCAGGTCACGTTACATGCTGACTGAGGTGCTTTATTCCAACGGCATAAGTGGCTGTGAGGTTAACCACAAGAAGGCTCCTTAGCAGGGGAGTTAAAGTCAATATCCACGAACGACTGAAATCTATGCAAACAGCAGCGACACATTCTGGCCATGCATTCAGGTTAACAGCTGCTCACACCAGAGCAACACATCCTGGCCTGAAATGCCATATGTGGGGTGGCTTTTCAACACTCCACTGGTTAGTTAAATAGAAGCATGGGGGCTGGGAAGGAATCACTGATTGGGATGCACAGAACAGGCTCCAGATAGGTCCCTCCAGGCCATTCAGAGGGCAAAGTCCATATCACTAACACCCAAGGCGGGGTACTCATTGCTTCTCCATGCAGGTGGCTCAGGCTGCTGATCCGCACCCTCCAGAAGGGCCTGACCGCAGGGGCATGTTCTCCATAAATGAAATGAAATTCCCTCTTTGCCATGTTTCAACAGCTGCTGTGGTTCTCGTCTGGGTGGGTCACTGGCAACATCAAAGAGGAATGAGCTTGATGCATTCCCGGTCTCGTAGTGGGCTCAGTTTGGTGCTGGCCTGAGAGTGTTTGTTATTTTCCACAGTTTCCCAGCAGGGCATGTGCAAAAATTCACTCAACTGAAAACCCACAGAGCCACGGTGCTGGCCTTTCTCCAGTCTTTTCAGCCCCTTTCCATGAACGTTCGCACCAGCAAGCCTTGGTTTGCGCGAAAGAGAACGTTAACATGTATTCACACAAGCATTCGCACTGGCCACTCTTGCTGGCTGTCTCTAGAGCTGTCGCTGGGTTTGGGAGTCAGCCAGTTGGGCAAGTGAAACAAAACCGTGTGACTAAGGTCACCTATGCAAATTAGCACATTAGAAATAGCAAATATAGGAAGCAATAGCTGTGGCGAATGCTTTGTGCTGGGACACAATCCAATTAGCCATTTGTTGATAAACAAACATGTGCAAATCAACGTCTGCAATTCTCACTTCTTGCTTTTTTCCTGAATTGCAAAGGGAATTTCTACTTTCTGGAGGGCTCGCTGGATGCTCTGCTCTGCGGGAACAGCAGTGACGCCGGGTGAGTGGGGTCTGTTCAGGCACAGACAGACCTGGGCGGACCCTGGGGAGGGAACCAAAGAGGCCAGCCATGGCTTAGTCTAGGGATAGCACCCAGCCGGACCAGCCAACGAGAAGTGACTGGTGTGAGTTTGGAGAAGAGGATTGTGGGCACGAATTCCCATTGTATGTCTGGGCACAAATCTTTTGGGGATTGTGAAGGGAACCCTCTGCTCCCGTCTCCTTTGCTCTCCCACAGACCGTTCAGAGACTTTCCTTTGTAGACACCACCATGTAGTTTACTGACAGTACTTCACCTTGCACAGCCATCCTATGTACAGTGATTAAGCTTGACTAGCTCTTCTCCAAAGGGACGGGGGTGGGAAAAGGTCTCTCCACATAGAGATCTCCTGGATCAGGCCCCAGCTACCCTTGCATCTCTCCCTCTTCTGCTTCCCAACCCCCTTGCGCTTCCTTCCTGGGCTCTTTTACCCAGTCTCCTTGTTAACAAGCTAATTAGCTCGTTAGCTACCCAGCCCCAATCTGATCTGGTAATCAGGAGCTCCTCTCCTTAATGAGGCCCTCCTTGGGGGCCTCATTGGCTAGACAGTGACCAGAGTGCTGGCTTGGTTGCTGACTCCCAGCACTCCTCACAGGGATGAAGAGTTTTCGTGCCGGTAGAAGTGCTGACTGATGCATAAGCACACCCCTCTGGGCTCCAGGGTCCCCTAGCCCAGCTGCACCCCCACTGCCGGGGGATGCCTTCTTTACCGGGAGGGAAAAGGAATCTGACGTATTTGTACCTCCCCCTGAGAAATGACCCTGTGGGAGGTTCTGCTGGGAGTGCCTGGGGGCTGACTCTTCTTCTGTGTCTGAAGAGCTATTGGCCAAACTGCGGGTCTCTGCCCGCCCTGTTCACCCTCCCTGCGGGTACACCTGGTTGGTGAATGCAGATCCCCCAGGGTAGCACAGGAAATGACGGCACAGACTGGGGTGGGTGGAGGAGAGGGGAATATGATGGGGAGAAAGGGGAAGCCCAGATGCTAGCCTCCTGCCATCGGTGCTGGAGAACACCTCCGCCCTGTCACTCCCCAGAGGTTCTTCTAGGCAGTTCAGCCCAGGCCTGTTCCGAGCACAGGGTTTTCGGGTTATAATATGCTGAGACTGACAAACTGTTTTTGCGGGGAGGGGCGGTGGGTGTGAATTCTGGCCTGTCAAGTCTCCTGTCTTTCCCCGACTGGCTGTTGTGAAATGACTCAAATGGACCAGTAGCCTCCTGGTAAGAGCTGGAGCTGAGGTTTTCAGCCCTATATGCCTGAAGTGAGGGTCTGTGTCCAGAGCCCCATGAGGCCTGATTGTCAGGAAGTGCTGAGCACCTGCCCTGTGAAAATCAAGCCCCTTGGGGCACCTTAGATTGAGCACCCCCAAGATGACACACCCCAAATCACTAGTCACTTGCAAAAATCTTGGTCATAAATCCTGACTAGATACCTAAGTAAGTGGCCACATTTTCCAATGTCCTGTCCACTCAGCAGCTCCTGGGAAGTCAGTGGGAATTGCTGAGTGCTCAACACTTGAGTATCCGGCCACTCAGAGTATGTCTACACTTCAATAAACTACCCGCGGCTGGCCAGGCCAGCTGAGTCTGGCTCAGGCTGCGGGGCTAGGAGGTTGCAGGGTACATATTTGGGTGTGGACTGGAGCTCGGGCTCTGGGAGGTACTACGCCCAGCACAGAGCCCCTGGCAGTGCAGGATGACCTGGTTAGACAGCATGGCGACCTGCTGGCCCCAGAATCCAACATGGGAACTGAGGGGAGCCAGCAGCAGTTGCCGAAGAAGGCAAACAAAGTGACTCTGCTGACGAAACCAGCCCCAGAGGAGGCTCTGCCGCAGGAACAGCTGCAGCACATCCTGGGGCCGCGCTGAGAGGAGTTTTTTGATGTCCCCCTCCGCCCCGGAGAAATGGCCGCTGCAGAACTGGCTGCAGACAGTGAAGAGGCAGAAGCCGCTGGCAAGCTTCTGGCTCCATTTTGGTGTTTATTCAAATAGGAATTAGAAATGGGAGGGATTTCCAGTCCCTGAACCAATGCAAGCCCTGGGTAGCATCCTGTATCCGCTAATGGCAGATGGCATGCGAGCACGTTGGCACCCCCACCTCCCTCCCACCACATGGAATTCAACATGGAGCTCAGGAAACACAAACAGGAAAGCAAGCAATGAAAAGTGAAGTTTTATTAGAAAGGCGCACGTTTTCTTAGGACATTCTGGTTTGTTAAAAATAACAACCTTAAACCTCGTCCATCCTCCCTGTGCAAGGAAAAGGCCGGGGTAGAGACCGTCGAATCGTGGAAGTCAGCGAATGGCTACGCAGGTGGTGTCGGAGAGAAGGTTTTGGATTCTTTGACCATGGGATGGTGATGCAAGAAGGAGGAGTGCAAAGCAGAGACGGGCTCCACTTAATGAAGAGAGGGAAGAGCATCTTTGCAAGCAGGCTGGCTAACCTAGTGAGGAGGGCTTTAAACTAGGTTCACCGGGAGAAGGAGACCAAAGCCCTGAGGTAAGTGAGGAAATGAGATACTGGGAGGAAGCACAAGCAGGAGAGTGCACGAGGGGAGAACTCCTGTCTCAGACTGAGAAAGAGGGACGATCAGCGAGTTATCTTAAGTGCCTATACACAAATGCAAGAAGCCTGGGAAACAAGCAAGGAGAACTGGAAGTCCTGGCACAGTCAAGGAACTATGATATGATTGGAATAACAGGGACTTGGTGGGATAACTCACATGACTGGAGTATTGTCATGGATGGATATAAACTGTTCAGGAAGGACAGGCAGGGCAGAAAAGGTGGGGGAGAAAAGGTAAGAGAGCTGTATGACTGCTCAGAGCTCCGGTATGAAACCGCAGAAAAACCTGAGAGTCTCTGGATTAAGTTTAGAAGTGTGAGCAACAAGGGTGATGTCGTGGTTGGAGTCTGCTATAGACCACCAGACCAAGGGGATGAGGTGGACGAGGCTTTCTTCCGGCAACTAACAGAAGTTACTAGATCGCAGGCCCTGGTTCTCATGGGAGACAATAATCACCCTGATATCTGCTGGGAGAGCAATACAGCGGTGCATAGACAATCTTGGAAGTTTTGGGAAAGTGTAGGGGACAATTTCCTGGTGCAAGTCCTGGAGGAACCAACTAGGGGCAGAGCTCTTCTTGACCTGCTGCTCACAAACAGGGAAGAATTAGTAAGGGAAGCAAAAGTGGATGGGAACCTGGGAGGCAGTGACCATGAGATGGTCGAGTTCAGGATCCTGACATAAGGAAGAAAGGAGAACAGCAGTATACGGACCCTGGACTTCAGAAAAGCAGACTTTGACTCCCTTGGGGAACTGATGGGCAGGATCCCCTGGGAGAATAACATGAGGGGGAAAGGAGTCCAGGAGAGCTGGCTGCATTTTAAAGAATCCTTATTGCGGTTGCAGGAACAAACCATCCCGATGTGTAGAAAGAATAGTAAATATGGCAGGCGACCAGCTTGGCTTAACAGTGAAATCCTTGCTGATCTTAAACACAAAAAAGAAGCTTACAAGAAGTGGAAGATTGGACAAATGACCAGGGAGGAGCATAAAAATATTGCTCAGGCATGCAGGAGTGAAATCACACTTGGAGTTGCAGCTAGCAAGAGATGTTAAGAGTAACAAGAAGGGTTTCTTCAGATATATTAGCAACAAGAAGAAAGTCAAGGAAAGTGTGGGCCCCTTATTGAATGAGGGAGGCAACCTAGTGACCGAGGATGTGGAAAAAGCTAATGTACTCAATGCTTTTTTTGCCTCTGTCTTCATGAACAAGATCAGCTCCCAGACTGCTGCACTGGGCAGCACAGCATGGGGAGGAAGTGACCAACCCTCTGTGGAGAAAGAAGTGGTTCAGGACTATTTAGAAAAGCTGGATGAGCACAAATCCATAGGGCCGCATGCGCTGCATCCGAGGGTGCTAAAGGAGTTGGCGGATGTGATTGCAGAGCCATTGGCCATTATCTTTGAAAACTCATGGCGATCGGGGGAGGTCCCAGATGACTGGAAAAAGGCTAATGTAGTGCCCATCTTTAAAAAGGGGAACATGGAATAACCGGGGAATTACAGGCCCGTCAGCCTCA